GAAATTGCTGTTTCGTGACTCTTATTCTCTTACCAGTCTTCCAAAGAACACAAAGAATTTCTACTTTTTGTGAATAGAATAAAATTCAATTTATTTTGCTATTATCACACAGGTCTTTGAAACCTAAGGCACACTATGGGATTTATGTTATCTATAACTTGAAAATTTACTCTATTTCATCATCCCAGACATTATTTGATAAATATTCATTCATTATTCCCAACTATTGCTAAAAAAAAATAAATGGCTAAAATGATAAGAAAATTGGCGAATTATGAAATTGCCTAGGAAAATAATATTAATAGTGAAATAATTATCCTTTCTAATTGTATTGGCAAAATACTGCATCATCATTTTTTTAAGAAGGTAAACGGGCTGGAAACACCACTTGTAGTCTACCTTTATTAACACCACTGTCCTGTGGCTGCTATCCTTAGAAAGGCCTGCTTACAAACTGGCTGGCCCTTGGCTGGCTTCTGGGAACTTAACTGGTAAACGGTTCCCTACACTGACACAAAAATTCTAAATTATAAGAGTGGCTCACTCTACCTAAAATGTTTGCACTAACTATGTTTAGGCTGACACAGCACCAGAATTTTTCAGTCAACTTTTCTTGCTCTGAAACCTTGCTTACCAAGCAACCTTCTGTTGATAAACTAGCTTCCTGTATATATTTTCCAACAAACAATGTCTTCACTAATTTAAAAGAGCAGTGAGTTATCTCATTATGAATAAATAAATTGACCTTCTGGTTGTAAAAGAGGATTTCATTTGTTTTGGGGGGCTTGGGGTGAGTACTTTGTATAAATGCATTCGTTAAATCTGAGGAAACAGCTCCTCAGAGTTTCTGGACCTGCAAATGAGGAGCCCACAAGAATGAATTAATTCTATAGCATTACAAAGAATGGCTTATATTCATTATTTTCCTAATAAGACCTTTTCTTATTGATTTTTGCCTGCATGTACAAGATACTTTTATGACTGTTTTTCTATTCTGAGTACCTGGAATTTGTTCTATCAAGATAAGGTTTTTAGGAGTCCTTAATCTCTTGTAATAGCACAGACCAAGCTAAGGAAAGGGGAAACATTCCATCTGGTATTCATTAGTTAGTGACTTCTATGAAGGTTAGCATAATTCACTGTTAAACAGACATAAAAAAATTTAAATACTTCTTTTGGATGATTAATACTATTAATTTCTTTGCAAATGTCAAGGGTAGAATCTTTTGAAGGTTATTCTACATTGAAAGTAAAAGAGCACTCACCAGTTTACCCCATCTGCTTCTACCCAGGCAAAGCGGTACTCATTGACCCGAAGCATCAGCTGCAGACACCCAGCAACACACTGCACATACTGAGAGCTCTACACAAGAAGTACAAGGTTTTAAGATTGGGAAGCATTTAAAGTCACGAGACCACGCATATACAAAAAGTCTGAATTTTTTTTTTACTAGAATTTCTTATCATTAGAACATTCAAAAGTCCCTAATATTTTTTCAAAAGTCAATCACATTTTTGCTTTTCTCTCTACCTCTTAGAAATAAAGCTGATTTTCTCTGCCAAGTTAAACCTACACAGTTCAAGATTACTTAACATACATAGTCAGAGAAATGAAGGACCAAAGTAATTATATATTTGATACAGTTTTATAATTATTTGGCAATGTTTCATTTCCCTGAATAGAGGCACTATATGGAGAATACTACTCTTCATAATTATAGAAATATCAAAAAACAATAAAATTAAAAAGATAAAAGTGTATGCTTTGGGACAGGCCTATATTTGAACGATCTTGGGTGAGTTACTGGACCTTTCCAATACTCAATATCTTCATCCTCAAAGAGGATGACATCCCCAAGCACCTGAGAAAGTATTGTTAGAACTAAGTAAATTAATTCATTTAGCATACAGTTAGACATTTCATAGAAACTCAGTAACTGAGAACCTTAAAAACTACACAGCATATAAAACATCTAATTAAACACTTGAAAAAGACTATAATTTTTAAAAACTATTAGTTCAAAAGCATTGTCTTGGAGAAATTGTAGTTAAATCTGGAACTAGAAGCAAACAGGAATAATATCCCCAGGAGTTTGCAGGTTCCTCCATTTTAGCAAAGCTAGTAGTAACACCTGGCCTGGGCTCTACTCTAATTATTTATCATGAGCCTTACATCTATAAGAAATGGAGAGACAAGAGGTAATTTCAAACTCTAGCCTTAAAGAACATACTAATGAAAAATAAAGAAAGAGGAAGAAAAGAGAGATTCATGGATGTTCTATAAATTCACAAAACCTAATATACACAATGTTTTAACTTAAACAAAGTTTGTTAAAACCTAACACTTCAAAGAAATTCTAAGCACTCAAATACAAAAACACAATGATATAGATATATTTGGTGGATTAATCAAAAGTTACAAAAGAAAAGGTTATCTTGATTTTACCTAGAAAATAGTGAACATAGTTCCCAAAAGACAATATATCCAATAATATAATTTGCCTGAAAACTCAAAACATTAGCAGAAATTAATGACCGAAAAAATAGTGAATCTTCAGCTCTAAAACAATCTTGCATAGTGGAAAAAAAATGTGTATTTTTCCAATTAAATCAGCAGGCAGTAATCCTCAGTGAAGGAGGAATTCCATTTTCTTGTTTAGAGAGACAGACTAAGCAAGGTTTCTACATGTGATCAGTAAAAAGGCAACCTAGGGTATTCTCTCCTCTTCCATTCATCAACAATTCCTCTCAACACAAAAATTTATTGGTTCACTGTATGTCTTCCTTTCTGTGTCCATTTACCATACTATTGTGAAATACATGATACATTTCAAATATGGACTCTTCATTGTTATTTACAGCTTCAGGATTCACATTACAAATGAGCCATATAAAATATGCTGGTTCTAAAACTGTACTCTCTCCTATTATACACTATGAGGTAATACAAACGCCATTCTAGAAATTACTTTCAAAGTATACAGTGAAGGCAACACTGACTGGTAAATGATTGAATTATTGCTTTCAGTTAAACAAAGTAAATTGTCTCACTTCTTTGTCTTTCACTTACATTGTCCTATTAATCTCATGTATAAATTAGTCAATACTTTTTAAGAAAATAATCAGCTTTCAATCAATCCACCCAGTCACCATCTCTAATACTACACAAAGGTAATACGACACTGCTGCAGAAAATCGTACAACTGTGCAAAGTCATCAAGCAATTCTAGTCTGTTCTGCCATTCCCCAGTCACTGTCACATACTCACCACTATCCTCCTGTCCTAATCTCTGCCCTCACTCTCAGCAATATGAGAAAAAACAGGGACCATTAGTAAGAGATTCACTCAGCTATCAACACCTTACTCCCCAAGCTGAACTTCATTTACAGCCACTGTTACTTCTCTCTCACCTAGGAGACAGGCAGACATCTTCCTGTCCAAGGCCCAATGCCCCAGTAAGGTCTGAATCCCAATCCTCCCACACAACGGTCCATCGACCAGACCCCTCTCCTGTATCTTCAACCTCTCTGATTGGTTTCCTTTTCTCAGCCTCTAAAAATACTCAATTCTTACCTATCTCTTTTTTTTTTTTTTTTAATATATCTTTATTGATTTCAAAGAGAGGAAAGGAGAGGGAGAGAGATAGAAACGTCAATGATGAGAGAGTCATTGATGGAGCCTGCAACTCGGGCATGTGCCCTGACCGGGAATCGAACCCTGATCGCCTGGATCCCAGGTTGACGCTCAACCGCTGAGCCACGCCCGGCCGGGCCTTATCCATCTTTAAACTAACCCTAAAGCTTGTACCAATCTCTGCACCTTTCTTCCTCCCAATACATAAAGGTTCCTTGAAAGAATTATCACCAAATTTTTACCTGTTTTATATTTTATCACCCCACTTAACATGGCAAATGCTAGGATTGCCAGTGACCTTAAATTGCCAATCCCAACAGTTACTTTCCACCTAAGAACCAGACCTCTATCTACAACTACTTATTGGAAAGCTCTTTTCCATTCTCCTCTCCACTCACCTGCTGCTGCAAGTCCTAAGTCAAATGTTAACTCCTCCACCATGAAAGAAAGTTGTAGTATAACATAATGTTGACCCATGAACCAGGAGGTCACCTGATCGATTTTCCCTGTTAGGGCACATGCTGGGGTTGTGGGCTCAATCCCCAGTAGGGACAGTGTGGGAGGCAGCCGATCAATGTTTCTCTCTCATCGATGTTTCTCTCTCTCTATCTCCCTTCCTCTCTCCCCCTAAAAAAAAAAAAAAAAAAAAAAAATCAATAAAAAACCTATTTTTAAAAAGAACAAAGGCTCTGGAACCAGTCTGTCAAACTCACCCACTTACAATCTGTGTATGAGCTTCCTACCTATAAAATGGGGAAAACAGGCAAATCCCCTGGAATATGGGGATAATATCATTAGTTAATATATGAACTTTCAGTGATGCCTGTCATATAATATTCAACAACTTTGCTGCTGCATCTACTGTTGTATTCTGATTTCTCCAGATGGAATTCATCCCTTTCACGGTATGACATATATGTCCCTATTATTGCCCTCTGTGTGTGTATGTGTGTGTGTGTGATCCCCATTAGGCCAGCGAGCAAAAGAGGAGTCTTTTTTAATCTCAGCACTTTACCATAGTCCCTGATAAATAACAGCACTTTAAAAATGCTTGTTTGCTAAGTGAATAATTAAATATTCATTGCCCTTGATCTTATTTTTTTCTATTTTGCCATTTGGCTTTAGAAGGAAAAAAAGTAGAACTTAAAATTGAAAAATACAGAGTAGTGCAAAAGGAGGTTTACAGTTGTGAGTATGTGAAACACAGTTTATCCTTGTATTATTATTTATGAATTATCGTATTATTTTCCATATGAACTATAAACCTACTTTTTCCCCACCCTTTATATTTTCTCCAAGTGAAGCATTTTTGTTTGCTGCCTAGCAAGATACTGTTTTTTTAAAAAAAAAGACCAAATATAGAAACCCCCAAATTCTATATGATCACTTCCCTTAAACTGACTTCCATGATAATTATATATAAATGTACTACTATCTTCCATATTGTTCAATACAAACACTAACTTAATATTTTCTTGCTGTATTATTTTTCTTTTTGCTGGAATTTCCTATTCTGTTTGCAGACAGTAATTTGAAAAGTATTGTTTGGCATAGCTATAATTCTAATAGGAAGTCCTGAAATCTCATGAGATTTCAAAGACAAACTAAACAAGAACTGAAAAGTAGAGAAATAGTCTAACTTACAGGACAATATCAAGAACCACCAAACTGATGAGGTAGTATTTGTGGTGATCAAATATTGCGCCTTCCAAATACAAAGTCACAAGAAACAATCAAATAAGGAAGAGCATCTCTGTGTCTTCCCTAAAGCCTTGCCTTTCCCAGGTGGCCTCTCCCTGAGGCTCCCTAACTCCTATGCTCAGAACTCCCAAGAAAGATGCCTCTAAGATCAGCTTCTGGGTATGAAGTATAGATACAAACTAGAAGTATGACTTGACAAGTAGCATGGAACCTTATTAACATTTGTGTACATGACTTTTATTGACCTGAATTTACATAAGATGCTTTGTACATATTTATCATAATATATCCAATCAGTATTGAACAGCATAATATAAAAAGTCACTCTTATCACCTCTCATTCCTAAGACACAGATTTCTGTGTGACACTGCAGAAATTTTCTGTTAAATGTATGTTTTTAAAAAAAAACACAAATTAAGGTTCTACTCCTTGTACACTCTCAAAGGACCTGTGCAAGCACTGCCACAAGTGGACTAAAATAATCAAAGTGTGTAATAACCTGTCTAATGCTGTCCTCCCTGGGATACAAGGCAGCCCTGTGAAGGTAGGAGTCTTACCCATCTTGTTCAGTGTTACGCTTCCAGCACAGTGCACTGTACCCAGCAGCACTCAGTAAGTATCTCTTGAATGAATGAACAAAAAGAAATACAACCAAACTTCATATCTTATACTAATACCAAATGAATGAGGCTCTAATAGATATGGTTTGGTAATTACAAGTTTGACCAAAAATTTTATACTGATAATAATCAATACTGCAGAATTATACACAACACAGCACTATTATCCTATTTAGATCCAAAAATAAATGTTTGGTAGTTATAGATCTTACAAAATTGCTTAGTTGTTTTTTTTAAGTCATCTCAATTTGAGAATTTATAAAAATTGCTAATCAATTTTGGCTATACCTTACGTCATTCTGTTTTACTAGAATATATTTATGGTAAAAGAGCTCATTCAGCCAGATAATAGTTTCTATTTACATTGCTAAAGTTATTCATTTATCTGGTGGAAGAAAACTGCCTGTATTTGGACTGACTTAACAAAAATACATACACACAAAAAAGATGTACTAGATACGCACTATATTGTTTCCCAAATACTATTTGCTTAAATGTCATTCAAGCACAGTTTTTCTTTGATGTAAAGTTTTTCTGTTTTTTTTTCAATAATCAGAATGGATCCTATAACCCTCAATAACTAACCAAAAAACTGTCTAAAAAAGAAAAAAAGTTTCTTTTTATAAAAACAATTAACATCATATATTTCAGTACTTTCAAATAATCAAAATTAAAAATTTAAATAAAGAACAAAAGGGAAATATTATGATACCCCCCTCCCCTTTTCTTTAAGATGAGGAACCCAAGGCTTAAAAAGATGATGTAATTTGTTGCAGTTAAATAACAGGCCTGAAATGTATGAACTATATGAACTACTGATGCAGCCCACTCATTTGCGCTACTTGTGCAGCAGTTTTGATGTACTAATCAACAAAGTAGCAAAGAACTAAATCATTCAAGTACTCCAGCTCTTCTGGAAGATTGAAAAGTATCACATCAGCATGGCGTTAAAGTAAAAGCAAAGTTAAAGCAATAAAACCTCATATTAACAAAGATATTAGAATCATCACAGAAAACAATTTAAGGAATTTGGCCAAAAGCCAAAAAAGGTACTTTTTCCCCCTTCTCATTCTAAAATGCCGTTGTTACTGTGCTAAAACATGAATGAATCTTGAAAACATTACACTAAGTAAAAGATGCCAGGCACAGACAACCACATATTATATGATTCATTCATAGCAAATGGCCAGAAGAAGCAAATCCAGAGAGTAGAGTAGTGGTTGCCAGAGGTTAGGAGAATGGGGGCAAGAATGGAGCGCGACTATTAATGTGTACAGGGTTTCTTTTTGAGGTGCTAAAAATGCTCTAAAATTAGATGTGGTGATGGTTGCACAACTCTGTAAATACACTAAAACCCACTGACCTGCAAATAGATGGATTTTATGGTATGTGAAATGTATTTTGATAAGGCTGTAAAAAAAAACCCCAAAACTAAATAAAATTGAAAACTTACTTCCTCACTCGTACTTACCACATTTCTGACTACCCAATAGCCACATGTGGCTACCATAATGGAAAGTGTAGATATAGAACATTTCCATCATTATGGGAAGTTCTATTGGACAGAACTGCTCCAGAACATTAAAAGGCCAGATAGCCCTGCCCAGTGTGGCTCAGTAGTTAGAAAGTTGGCCCCAACCCAGAAGCATTGCTGGTTCAATTCCCGGTTGAGGGCACATACCTGGGTTGCAAGTTCAATCCCTACCCCAATTGTGGCGCATGTGGGAGCCAACTAATCAATGTGTCTCTCTCACATTGGTGTTTCTGTTTCTCTCTCTCTCCCTCCCTCCTTTCCACTCTCTCTAAAAATCAATGGAAAAAATATCCATTTTTTGAGGATTAACAACAACAAAAGCCAAGATAAAGTATAAAATAAGCAAAAAGAGAACCTGGCAACTTAATCAAGTTACTTTACTACCAGTGAAACCACGTTCATCTAGAAATAACTGATGCTGAACTAGGTCTACACCAAAAATAGCCAGAAAACAAGACAAAGTCAAATGAGGGAGCCAGGAGTCACCTCGTTCCCCTAGGCACATGTATAAGTGAAGTCGGGCAGAAGAAAGAAGAAAAAGAACAAATAGAAAATTCCTGGGTTCTTTCTAAAACCTCCACATTTCTGAGAGATCACAGTATTCCTCTTTTGTCAGGGCTTCAGCACAACAATCAGCGTCCAAGGCTGTGCAGCTTCCTCAGAAGAGCAGAAGCCTAATCATTCACACGCAACAGCCAGCGAAGGGCTGAACAGGAAGCTTAAGGTAAGTGCATACGATTTGATGTCACTGTTATCTTCATAGTTAGGCAAAAACAACACAATTCATTTTCAGGAAATTCCACATATGTAATGTCCTTTAAATAAAAGTTTTGTAACAATTCACTCATAATTTAGGATGCTTCCATGGCATGGAAATTTTGTCATATTTCTCTCTCATTCTGCAGTGTCAACCTTTTCTTTATATGTTCTATACTGACATCAAGTGGCAATATCATGTAATGCAGTTTACCAAACTTTTTCTATGCTCTGAAAATCTAAAGGGATTTTAAGATATAATACTGATGTTTTCACAAGTCAGAATAGGCTGTGAGACTTGAGAATGCCTACTAAAGATCCAACTCCAGTTCAGTTGCCTCAAAAGTAATTATCTCAGTAAGTAATTCCTTCCTTTGGGAGTTTTGCCACTCATTAGCTGAATGACCTTGGGTAACCTGGTATGCCTTTCTGCACAGCCTCACTGTACATATCCATAAAACGTGGCTTATGGTAAGATCTATATCAAAGGAGTGTGAATATTCAAGAAAATGTAAATGTAAAATGAGTAAAACAATGCCAGGCACAGTAAGAGCTCACTATGGATTACCAATTTAGATTTCCCTATTAAAATACAAATATCTAAGCAAGGCTAACACCCTACTCTGAACTTACTGAAGTTGACAGCCATTTGAAACAGTAAGAGACAAAGAGTACATTCAGGTTTGAAGGGCACTAAAGGGAAGAAAGTGGGAAATCAAAGGCCATCTCTTCCTTACTCACAATTACCCCTGATGCTAATTCCATTTGGGATGTATATGTATGAGTCTACTAGGTAAATCACTTTGACTAATGCCAGTCAATTCAGTTAATCAGTTTTGTTTTTCTAATAATTGGATAGAAAAAGTAAAATCAGAGTTTCACGTCACCAGAACTTGCAAGTCATTATCTAAGCCTTAATAACTTACAAACACTTTAACAACCACTCAAATTCGTTTATAAGACATGATTATAAAAACACCTTTTTAAAAATCTACCAATAAGTCTAATACATGAATTAAACATTTTTTTCAAAATTACAGCTGGTAGAAATTCAAGTCATATAAAATAAAGATTCCCAATTTAAACATTTACTTATGGCTGAATATCTAGACTTCTGCCCGACCACCTCCCCTCACCCTGGCTCATCTAGTTCTACACCTTGTTCTGATTCCACCTCAGAAGGCTAATGGCCATTTTCTGGTCTAATACATTATTTGTCAAATCCTTCAACCCAAGAAAAGACCCACTTTTGGCTTTGAAAGTGGGTTGTGCTGCCATCTATAATCTCAGAGAATACATACAGGTATGTTCTATGCAAAATATGGAAGTATCAGTAATTAATATGGGCATTAAATGGCTTCTACAGAGCTTCATTTAGGTCTATTATAGGCAGACTATAGACACTATCCTCTAAAGATGCTTTTAGTTTTCCAGAGATATTTCCAACAAATGAAGCTAGATACACTTTACCTACATTTCTAACTTTTGTCCCCTTATCTTTCTCTCAACTGGTTCCAATCATTCCAGCCCTGTTGTCCAAATATATTACCAGTTTTGGAGCTATTCTGAGTACAATAAAGTTATACCATTCCCAAGTGGAGAAAATAACTCTAACCAAAAAACAAACTTGAGAGACATGATTAGTTTTAGCCTTTAACTTTTTGGCTCTACAAAAATATAGGGAAAAGTTGGCCCAAAAAGAGGGGGAAGAGGGTCTGGCCACCATGTAACCCCATATAAAGCCTTGAGCAACACGTTTTGAGCAACGGTGTTTCAGTGGCATAAGGTTATTGAACTGTTTTCAACTGTTTGACACAATGTTCACTCATCTATTAGAAAGATATTAGTTTATCAGACAACTGAAGCTCTGAAGACAATAACTTTATGATTATTTGCTCCAACTGTGTATCTGCTCTTGCTTTGATTCTCAGATCTGACACAAAGTGGCCCGAGAAGGAGAGTAACAGGGAAGCACAAGTCTCATGTGTATCCACAGAACAGTGATCACTAGAGACCATAAATATTTAGATATAGTGTTACAATATCATTCACCTAACTGGAGGTGACATCAAATCCATGAATTTACATTCGGGGCACTAGTAAACATCTTCAAAACTGTAAATGTCTATGACTCAAAATAACTTATATTCAGGGTGTTAGGAGGCTAGTGAATTAAGAAGGAATGTACTTACATCACTTGAAGAGACTGTTCCTGTTTCAACAGCAACACCGCTACCACGCAGTTTCTATTACAAAATAAATAACTTATTACTTAGTTTTGCTTTTAATTTTATCCTAATTTATCAGTGTATGAAAGAGAGCTAACCAAATTTTATTTTTCCCTAATCCTACTTATTGGAGTATCATCAACTAAGAAAAAGAATGAGGATGATATGAATATTCTAAATTATCATTATACTCATCCAGATACTATCTTAATCAACATATTATTTAAAACGGAACAATAATAAGCTGAATACTAAGCTCCAGCTAAATTTCAGGAGTGAAGCTGGTACAAATTTCCAAGTCTCAGGATCTACTTACTAAATTGTTTCTCCAATAAGACAATTGTCTTAAGCTGAACTATCTACACTATATTCTGTGCCAAGTTTTTGAAATAGGAGCCTGATGATGGGAAGATACTACACAGAACTTAAAATCTGGTTATCACAGCAATGCTAACAAGTTACACTGAAAACCAAAATTTCACTCATTATATAGAAATGACCAAGGAAATTTTAAGGTAGAAAGTGAAAGGCCAAATATACAAAAGAAAAGTGATAATAAATTTCTGAAAGGAAATTTTTATTTTGTTTTATTCAATAACTATTGTCTACTAAGTGTCAGGCATGAGCCCCCTATAACCAAGTATAATACTCCTAAATGTCGCTGTAAGTCAAAGAACAAAATATCCAAACTTGCAACTAATTTAGACTTTTGAAAATTTATTTCTATTAGAATCATGAAATTGTGGTCCCTTTTATGAGAGAGAAAACACATCGAAGAAAAAGAGACCTTCCAGATATAGTGTTATCAAATGACATTAAAGCAAAGTAGCAAATAAAATCCCAAATAATCCTATGTTTCATTCTTTTAACAAGAAGTCTGTAATTTAATTCTGATAAAAAGCTATAGAAGAGGTGTCTGCCCACAGCAAGAGAGAGAGTGCAATACAGAGCCTAGCAGAAGCAGTGACCAGGCTCCGAGAAGCAAAGCCAGATTGGGCCTGGGAACCCTGAAGAGTCATTCTGTAAACAGAAGAACTTGCAAAGCAGAAATGCCATACTGTAAATAAAGCCAAAGACTTGGTGATAGAAAGAATATGCTAGAAAGATACAGAAAAGGTTTTTAAGAGAACTTATCTAATACCAATTCCAATGAAAACTGTTCTATACATTGAAATATTTGCTTCCACTAGTGACGATAGAAATATTTCCCGCACGCCCTGGTTGGGTGGCTCAGTTGGTTGGAGCATCATCTCGATAATGCCAAGATTTCAGGTTTGATCTCCAGTCAGGGCACATGCATGAGTCAACCTAATCAACCAAAGAGTCAAATCGACATTTCTTTCTCTCCCTTTCTCTCTCCCTGTCTCTTTCTCTCTCTCTCTTCCCTTCTCTCAAATCAATATACATACCCCATGGACACAGGCAATAGTTTAGTGAAAGCCAAGGGAGGGGGAGGGGGGGTTGGTGAAGGTGGGCAAAGGGTGGGAGAAAGGGGGATACCTGCAATTGTGTCAACATTAAAAATTTTTAATTACAAAAAACAGGAAAAAAATTAAAAATGAAAAAAATATTTTTTAAGAAAGGAATATTTCCTCCAATTGCTCAATAAGGTTACAACCCTTGTTAATCATTCCAAAAGTGACAAATCATCTGAGACACAACATAAATGTTACTCCTATGAGGAAAAGTCTTAGATGAAACAACTCAAAATGTTAGTGGCAAACTACAAGTATACATTCTTTCCTGCTTATTTTCATTTATGAATCTAGCTACAATAGAGTCCCATTACTACTATACCATAAAGCTAACACTAATGCATTATAGCACCATACCATATAGCACTATACAATAAAGCTAACACTAATGCAGAATTAAGTTTGCTCAAAGGAAGAACTAAATTCAAATAGAAAAAAGCAGGGATATACGTATTTAACTAAGTATTCTGATCCCAAATGATATACATTTAGAAATTATAAAATGAGATGTTCATGTTCTAAATATCTTGCTTTTTAAATACCTCACAAACTCACTAAAATCTATAAATTTGTGGCTCTTGGAAAAATACATTTTAAAACTAAGCAAAAAAGTGTTAATATTTATGCTACTGACATAAAAAATACTTAATTTATTCAAGACACCCCAAAATATCCCTATCCAAATATAAAAACAATTAGGCTCCCTCCAAAACACAGGCAATAAGTCAAAAAACCAATCTCAGCAAAATGTCATGGTGTCTCTCTTATACTTCAAATTAAAATCTATTAAAATAATCATCATTGAAATCTAAATGACAACTTTCCAAAAATGTATTTCTAATAGACATTTATTTGAAATCTAACACGACACAATAGCAGCCAGTATTACTTCTCCTGGTCCCATTCCTTCACATCACCCATCCCAATACCAAAATCTCATTCTCTTCTACCTTTCTCCCCCAGAATGCTCCTCCCCACCACCTTCACGTCACTCCTTTTCTGATCATTCCCACCAAGTCTCCCCTTACCACCGAATACTGGAAGCCTAAGAGAAACACACCACTAAGCCATCATAAGTATCCTGTCTTTTGCCCTGTTCTAGGGAACTGTGAAGACAAAATCAGAAAACCTGTCCTTTTCCCAGCCACTAAGCCAGCAAGCTACTTCCTCCATGGGAACCAGAGAGGCCTGAAAGCAACAAGACAACCAGTAAGCAGGCTTCATGTTTAACCTCAGGCCAATACGTTCAGCCCCACAATGATACAGTGAAATCCTGAGCGACTGTGTGAGGCTGTCGTCTCACAGCTGGTCCCAGCATCCCCAGCTTGCCCAGGAGTGCCTAGAAACCTGATATGGATTCGGCCAAGGCTGGAATAAGAGGGCTGACTAGTGATGTATGAAGTGCTGTTTACAGTTTGAAACTCCCTGGCGGCACCCAGGGCCAGTTTGTTTATTGGTGTAACTAGTTAGGCAGCTCAGCCTGGTTAAGTGACTAACAGGGCATGAAAGATCCCACTAGAAACTTCTGGGGAGTTCTCCCAAAACCAAGATTTCTCCCACAATTGGTGGTCCAGAGTCCTGAGACAGATGCGGGTGCTGCTTCTGGAAGCCTCTCAGCCCCAAAGCTTGCCTGCACTCTCTCCCGGATGTACAGTTTCTTTTCCAGTCATAAAAGCCTTACATGAGTATGCTCTTTGGAGCTGTGTGATTCCTTTCAATTTTCCGACCTATGTGATCTTGGCAGCCAACTGGAAAGGAGGTAATCCCTGCCCGCTGAAAAGCATGGATGGAAAATACCAAGTGGCAGAAAGGACAGAAAGGGTTGAGCTGAAGCCAGTCAAAGAAAAAGTGAAGCATATTACCATACCTAACAGTAGTTTGGCTTACTTATCAAGTTCAAAATGGCATTATTTTAATATAAGACTCTTTGTAATTTCCCATAATTACCACAAACAGTTTAAGGGAACATGGATGTTATATTCCAAACGAAATGTCTTTTACCTGTGAACTCAGTTGAGTTTTTATCCAATTGAAATAGTAATTTAAGTCACTGCCTTCCATCAATTCTTTCCCCCAAGCTGCTAACTTGGCAATAATTCTTGCTGCCTAAAAAATAAGAAATGCATGTGAATACTATATCGGTTTTTAAAATCACATCATATACCTTCAAAACCAGGACTTGTAACCATTTTGCTACGTTTTTTTAACACTCAACTCCTCCAAAAATAGTTTATATTTCATTTTTAAAAGTTCATTTTTAAATATAATCCAAATGATTTTCAAATATTTCCAATAAAGTGAACCAAAATTAGTCGTTAAATTAAGAATTTCATGACATTCTCTGTATTATTTTGAGTTTCAAAAGTAAGACTGGGATTCATTATAAGACCAGCAAAAATCAAAAGAATGCAGAAATCCTTCCCAGCAGCAGACTTTCACCAAAGCACCTGCCAGAGTCCTGAGCAATCTATAACAAATTGCCAGCCAGCACCTTGCTCATTCCAAGCCCCTTGTGAGCTCTCATACTTAAAAACCTTTATCTTGAAGTAAAATATATCCTGGCGTTAAAGAGCCATCTCTCTTGGTATATAAAAATATACCCTTTTCTCCTCGTTCAAAGATTTCTCAATTTTCTTCAAGCTATAAAACTAATCATGATTTTTTTATTAAGTAGATACTATATGTATATCAAATCATTATGTTGTACACTTTAAATGTCTTACAATTTGTCAATTACACCTGAATAATTATACAATAAATCTGAAAACCTATATATACACAAACAAAACAGGCAGTATAAAATACTACTTCTCCATACACAAACCCAATTATATATTCTTTCAGAACTTTCTGAAAGCAAGCCAGTGTTTCAAAACTCCAACTATTCAGCAATAATTAATCCTAGTCGAGAATGGAAGGCTAAGGTTAGCTAACCCCCAAATAACTCCTGTGCCGGTGGACTGATATTTGTTCTTATACTTGGATACAGCTGAGCCAGGTGATGGAGGCGCACTTAAGGTCAGTGTGTCAAGCATTCAAGTGTCATGACATATCTGGAATTCTACACCATGGAGGGCTAACAGGAGCACCTCAACTACTTTATTAAGTGGACATACTGACATTTTCATGTGCCTAGCTAAATGAATTTACAGTTATATTATTTACTTCAAACTGACCTAACATCCACAAAATAGATAAGTGACTTGAAAAGGTTCCCATATGGAAACCAGGAATTGAAAGTATTATCAGCAATGTAAGCACAATCAAAATGGAACAAAGGAACAAGAGACCTGAGGTTTCTACTCCTAGCATAAAGCTCCTTTATCAGTGATATATCAAAGATAATCTGACTCTCAAAATTTAAAAGATTAGCCAAAAGTAATTGAAATCATAAAGAAATTAAAACCTGGATTTGGCTACACTATTAATAATGATGAACTTTACCCTAAATTTATATTTGGTCTTTAATATATTTGTCAATTTTATTATAAAACCATCAAAATTAGGAAGATTTTTAAACCAGTATCCAGACAGTGAAAACAAGCCTCTAAAATTTGAAAAAATAAAATATATTATCGTTTTTTTTAAGTATTCTTTAAAATAGTTTATTTCATGAGTCCTCCTTTTTAACTTCTTTTTATGTGTTAAAATATATACAATATATGAATACACTCACACATAAATGAACATGTATATATAAGGAGAGAAAGAGAACATGCATGCTCAAAATTATTTCACTGATAGTGATTCACTAAAGGCATCTACTAAGATGAGCAACCTCAGGAGCCTCCCCCGCCCCACAGCTCACTCCCTGTTGGGAACAGAAAAGGCCTGGTCAGAGATTTATTCTCTCAACTGTCCTCTCATAACTTCTCCACACACTCCTTAAAAGATTCTTCAGTGTTAAGACTTCCAAAGATAGCCTTTCAGTTTAAAACAGGATCGTATTTAAGATATTAAAAAGTAATTAAGAAATTGCTTAATTAAAATAAAAATTAAACACAGTAGCTGCTTCAAAGCAAAATTTAATTTATAAAGTAAAATTTGGTTAATTCTTTCAGAGATGTCCAGAGCTACTTGCACGTGTGAATTATACGCCTTTTATGCTAAGGACTCATCATTACACTCTACAAAACAAAAACTATATCAGAGCAACCCTCTCTCTTTTATCTTCCCCATATCTCCACATTATTAAACACCAATAAGAAAACACTACTTTGAAAAGTTAACATCACAGCAGTTACTCCTCTGGGAACTGGGAGGTTACCAAGTCATAAATGCCTCATGTGTTTCTTCCCTAAATCAGAAATTTGACCAATTCAAATTTACCATATGAACAGTAAAGAGATCCTGGCGATTCAACATTGGCAGAAAGTAGGACCAGGCAGTGTTCTTGCTCCGTTTAGCATAGTCAAAAAAAATGCTAACGCGCTGATGATTTTCCTAAAAAATAAAAGAAATGATATCACTAGTCAGAATGTGTTTTTCTAAAGAATGTAACCACTGTGCACTGTTACTCAACCTTTCATTTTATATCCCATCAATTTGAGTGTTTTATTTTCCAGCATGTATGAGATTTGCCTCCCTGTTGTTATTATTATGAGGGGAAAAGGGATGGTAATGGGTACAGGGATATTTAAAAAATGAAATCACCTTTAATTATTATGATTAGTTTAATTCAAGTGAGTCAAGATAACAGATCCCAGCCCTGCAAGGTGTAAGGTAATTTCTTCTCAGCCTGCACTGCTGACCTGCCTTTCCCACTGTTATCTCAACACTTCTACTCATATTATTGGCTGAAATCCACTATCAGGGTCACCAAGTGAATGTGGTTTCTAAGTAGCTATATTTGGTAAAAGTACAAATAACAACATAAACAATAATTTTAATTTTCAGATCAACATTTAATTCTTTTTAAATACACTGGTTTTAATTTTGGTCTGTGCTAACAGTTACCCCATCTGAGGAACACACTACCATCTCCTGAGGCAATAAACACTATAGTCTAGAGTAACAATGGAAATGGTTGTGATGATGACTTTATCAAAGGACTCAAAGTTCCGGTAGGTCATCATTAACTCCACTGGTAGATTATTTCCAAAGTTAAAATTTTAATTGTGCATGTAAATGAACAAAGTACCCTACATACATTAAGAGCAGAAACTATTTTATACGTTTTAAATAACTTTAAAATCCATCTTCTGCTACTAGTCCTTTGTGGTCTCAATTCCTGCTTAAAAATGTACTACCAACCATCATTGTCCCAGGAGTCCCATTACAAACCTTTAAGAGAATATGCATAAAGCCTTCTTTTCACAGTATGTATTTTTGTATAAAAAAGAGGGAAATATAAGAAAATACATATGTACCTACCTATTTTTGCAAAAAAAAAAAAAAGAAAAAGAAAAACAGTAAAAATAAACCAGAAATCTAGGATATTGGTTACCTACAAGAGATGGGTGGGAATGGAGTACAAGGGGTGGGGTAAGGTGTTGGTGACATTTCTAAGCATGCTTTTCTGTATATAGTTTTGACTTCTAGAAGCACATTAATGTTTTACATAATAAAATAAAATAAACAAGGGTGAGAAAAAAACTAAAGTAGAATACAAATAAATGAATCCAAATTATTTCAAGAAAAATAATTTAACCAGTCTGAACGAAACCTGAACACAATACTCTGACTACATACCCTCAGTTTAAAGATAAAGTACTGCAAACAAACACTGAACTCTAGGTAAAGGGCTTGTTTTTCAGTTATATAAGTCAAAAAATATTTTCTTTGTATTATAGAGTAGAATAAATGAGTTAATAGATGGAGGATTAGAGGATCTCACAATCTCACTGTCAGAAGAGATTACAAGTATGGAAAGAGGAGGCGAGAATGAAGTCTGTAGTACCGAGATACAATGAAATTGGAGAGAGTGTGAACTCATGGTTTTTAATTTATAGCTATGTGGATATACATAAAAATTGAGGATATGTGTGTGTGTCTGTGTGTGTGACATAAATAAAACAGAGGTCTACATACCAACTCATAGCCTCCCCGTTCTAGGTGTAGTCTCATATAACCACCAGGATAGCCAATGCAGACCACAACATTCCCCAATTTTCTAAATTTTACTTTTTTAAAGGAAAAAGTGCTCAGAGGACCAAGGCCATTCTCATAGGCCTGCATCACCCCAGGCTGTGTATCGATCCTCTCTCACATTATAAAATCACTACATTCCTGTAAATGACATGAAGGCCCTTAGGTAGATAGCACCATTCTTCTTAACCTTTGTATTCTCAATCAGAGTTAGTACAGTGCTTGACACATAGTAGGCTATCAATAAGTGTTTTTTCTTGTAAACTGACAGAACAACCCTTGGCAGCCAGATTGACACTCTTCTTCAAGTCTCCTAAGACATGTAGACAGGCATTGGATTTAGCAGCCAGACAACCTGTTTCAAAAAGAACTACTCTATATACCAACAATCTAAACCTAGATTGTACTCAGGTGTAAAATACAAAATTGTGAATAAATGAGGCTCCTCTGTGTTCAGGGAGAGTAGGCAATAAATAGAAACTTTATACAACTAGACAAGTCTCAGGCGATTAGCAAAACATTCTCCAAAGGGACAATGCTGTTGAGGGCAAGAACCTTGCCTACATTCAGCACTGAAGACCCAGTGCCTCACACTAGCCTGGAACACAGGGGCACAGAAATCTGTTGAATGACTGAAAGTGAAGGAGCCATTTCATCGGAAAGTACACAGAGCATCCGAAAAGCTTCAAGTGATTCACCAAACACTGCTGGTGTTCACAAAGAACTCCAAGATGTTTCAGGGGGAAAATACCTATGGATTACTTCCTATGCTGAAAAACAACAAAAACAGCCTATACGTATGCATTCCCATCTTTATCACTATTAGCAAATTACAACTCATATAATTAAGAAAAATATATTATTACATTCTAAAAGAGAACCAGTGTTGTAAGTGAAAGCTTACAAAAATGTTGTTACTGTGCAGTACACAAAAAGACAAAGTCACCAAATATATTAAGAATATACCTACCTGCAACATATCATCAACCATAGTTAGTATGTACTGAACTGTCTGTTCTTTGGAGATATGAGTCATCAGATTTATAAATGTTTTAGCACACTAGAAAAAATGAAATCAATGTTAATTACTGTTTTCAACTAAAAACACAACATATTAATGGAATTTCAGTATAACATGGAGTTGGCAAAAATAGGTTTACAGTTGTTCATTTGGTAAATAATACAATAATTAATAAATAATAATAGTACAGGAATAAACTCTGCATTTCATGTACTCACAACTATAAACCTACTTTTGCCAACTCCTATATTTTGCTTGTCTAAATTAGGACACAAGTGCTATTCACCAACAGATTTCAATTACTAAAAATGTATGCCTTTTACAAATATTGTGATAAGGTATGGGAGGACCATATTATGACTTGCCTCAGATTTTTGCTCATTTCTAGTGGTAAATTTCAAAATACTTACTATTTTTAAATAGGCAGGCCTAGCCACTATCAACTCTTAATTACTCAAGACAATATAAAGATTAAGTTATGTAGACAATCAAATATCATTATTGGTCTTGAATTTTTTTCTTTTTTTGGTGTTTACTAGGAAGCAGAACAACAAGGGTAGTGGGAATTGGAATCAGAAGGCTTTGACCTGTCTCCATTCTTCAAGTTATCAACTATGTAACAGCCTCTCTGGAATTCAACAGAAACTGGCACCAACAACACATTCCTTCCCAAATTTCCCAGGAATTTAAATGACAAATTGTTGTGGGAGTCAGGCTGAGTTGTATGTGAGCTCCTTCAGCCAATCAGGGTCCCACATCAGAAAATGGGATGGATAGCGGAACTGCTTATTATTCTAGTGAGAACAGAAAGTGAAAATTTTTTTCTACAAAAAAGTTCAGCAACTTTAAAAGTATCATATACTTTGAAACAGTGATTTCCCTTCTAGAAATCTATTCTCAGAAGATTTTCAGAAATGCAGAAAAGGATAAGAGAATAAACATAGTCAATATAACATTTTTCCAAAATTAACAAAGAAAACTGGAAGTCATTCAAAAACTTTTCCAATAAAAAAGGACTTGTAGCTCAATTATGATGCGTACCTACAATGGAATATCACATAGTCGTTAAAAACATTTCTAGAATTTGTAATGATGTGGGGAAGTGTCCGTGATATAATGTTTACATCAGTCACCTGGCTGCCTTCAGTTTGAAGCATCTCTTGCTTCTCCTCAGGACTTCTTTTCATTTCAAACCTTTGAATGAATTCACAATCTTCAGCAGAAATCATCTGGCCCCTAGAAAGTAAGAACAAGGTGTTCTTGTTGAGTAAGAGTTGAATAACCGCTATAAGCAAGCAACGTAGATATTTCAGTCTTCCTCCTCTCTCCTCAGGAGTAAACCATGAGGGTTGACACGGGGTCCTGCCATCGAAAAGACCTGAGTTCAAAGCTCAGCTCCACCACTTACTGATCATGTGACCTCTCTGGACTGAGTGAATTTATCTGTGAAGTGGCAACAATAACCACATTGCTTTTAAGGGGCTGAATTGAGGATGAAATTACACAGTTCACATGGGGCGATTAGCGCAATGCCTGGCCCATAGTAAGAACCCAAAAGTATGTCACTTCTTAGCACTATCCAAAACCTCACCTTTACTCCCCTTCCAAGCCAAACAGTTTATTTGGACTTCTAATTTATCAACACTAACAACACTTTATATAAACTTCTATGATCATTTTCTCCAGCATATGCTTTTCCTCCAGACTCAGGAAAATGAGATTCTCCTCCTCTCAGAAAAAACAACTTCATCCTGATCCCCTACATGCCCCAACCTGGCCGGGGATCGAACCTGCAGCCCAGGTACTACCCTTGACAGGGAATCAAACACGACACCCTTTGGTGGGCAGGCCAGCACTCTAACCACTGAGCCAAGCCAGCCAGGGCTTTTAGTTCATTCTAGCACTGAACTGTCTTCACACATGTTCCTTATTTAACATGGCTTTTCAGTCCTTGTTTTTCTAGATCTCTGAGGCAGGCGGCCATGTGGCCACACCTGACACTCTCTTTCTTGACGTCTGCATTCTTCTCATGCCCATCAGGCCACTCCTCTTCAGTCCCCTTCACCTACTCCTCGCCCCCCCATGCCCATATTCAGGCTCCGTGGAAAGCGCTCTTCATTCCTCACTCCACGGGTTCTCCCCAAGTGCTGCTCTCTACTCTGAGCGGGCAGCTCACAGTCTCACCTCCAGGTCAACCTCCCACAGCCCCCACTTTTTCCTGCTTCTAATCCACCCTCCTCCACATCTCTTACCTACCACCAGATGGCTGTCAGGCACACATCGGACCACGTTACTCCTTTCATATCAGTCAGACTGAATTTGAATGGCAGTTCTACCTAGCACTTAGGCAGAAGCATTCAATAAAAAATTTTTAATAACCACTTGACCAAGTAAAACCTATATGAGCATGCAAGTTACTTATCTGAACAGCTATCTCCTCATCTATAAAATAAGGACAAAAAGACTTACGTCACAGGATTGCTATAAAAATTATGTGAAACAATCCCCGCTCACATACGTGTATTGAACCTCTCCTCCCACAGGTCACATAGGCATGAAAGACCCTACAGGGACAGAACTGAGGCCACTAACATATATTCCCCCCCCTCACTCCATCCCCAGTCTGGCTAATGGGACAACGGAAGCAAAGAAATACTCTATGTCCTGTTGCCATTGTGGCTAAGCATGTCATATCCCAGTAAAGACAAAATGCACTCTGCACCCTGGGACAGGCTAAGATAAAACCATTCCATCTGGTTCTGGCCCCAAAATAAATGAAGTCTTTACATAAACCTGAACTGCCTAGCTAAAACGACTCCCCTGCCCCCAGATTTTGCTGTGCTAATGTGTAAAAGCACGTTATACCTTTGTAAATAGGATAAGTATGTGGAAAGATGCAGTTTTCCTACCATTAAGAAAGTACATGATGAACGTTACACTTGGTAATCTTATAATTTTACAACTTTCTTCTGCATTCAAATAATTATTTTTACTTGACAAGATATTCCTTCTGAAGTCAGACTTCCTAGCATTTGTTGCAAGAAACCTTTTTTTTTCTTGTTTCAAATATTTTCTGAGTCTTCCTTTGACAGTCCTATAATATAGCAGGTTAGGGGCTCTGATCTCTTCTCTAAAATCCCACACCGAATCAGGCACCAGTCTTAATTCCTCTACCTAGAATCGCTATGTGCCAGATACCTTTAAGAACAGGCAACATAAGTTTAAGAACAAAGGTTCTACTGTATGTACTGTCTAGGCTCAATCAAATCTTATCTTCATAATAACATGTTAATTTGTGAGAGATAAAGCATTATTATATTATTTAAGCCTTTGACATTGGGGAACTCTTCCACAGGTTTTATTTTATCAGAATATACTGTGATGTAAGATTCACTGATAGTTCATGTGTCATGTCCAGCCCCTATCAATCTGTAAGCTCTTTTAGGGGAGGCACATTTCATACCCACTAATGTCCCCACAACCAACAGCTCAGCAGCAGGCATACAGTTAACATTTGGTGAATATTTGTGGGCAGACATACAGAGCAGAGGAGTTTTATAAAAGAAATTCATGAGATGGACAACTGAACAATGGACAGAAATAGGAAAAATGGAGAATACAACTTATAAAGTATGGAGGCCTTGGAAAAGGAGGAACAGAAGCGAAAGCAATTTAAAATCCCCATGTAACTAAAAATGTTCCAAATTCCAGTGCTAAGCAACTTCTGCCAGTCAGCCAGTGCTTTATGATCAATAACAACATTATTCTATTTAGGTTATAAACATGAAACTCCCTGTGCTCTAGTCTAAGTGCATTCTGCAATAAAATGAGGACACAGGCCCTGGCCGGTTTGGCTCAGTTTTTAGAGCGTCGGCCCACAGACTGAAGGTCCCGGCTTCGATTCCAGTCAAGGGCACGTACCTTGGTTGCAGCAGGTTCAATCCCCTGGCCCTGGTTGGTGAGTGAGCAGGAGGAAACCAATTGATGTGTCTCTCTCACACCGATGTTTCTATCTCTCTCTCTCCCTTTTCCACTCTCTCTGAAAAGCAATGCAAAAAATATCCTCGGGTGAGGACAGCTAATTATTCTAAGAAGGAAGTGTCTTCTTCCACATTTATTAGTATGGTTCCAATATTTCTCTCATAGAAGCATGACCATGAGAAAGTCTGATGCAAAAGCGCATGATCACCCGTGATTCACAGCAAAGCGGTACTTACTGAAGATAGGACTGCCAGTTCACCTTGTTCGCACGCACTTCTGCAGCCTTGGCAGCAATAATGTTGGTTGGGACAGCAGCATCCACGGCACCACGGATGTCCATTTTGGTCATCTAAATTTTGTGATCTTGACAGTTCTCCCACAGATCTTCAATTCTGATGTAAGGTAAAACCAGAATACCAGGTGCTGTTATTTTTTAACAACTACTACTGTTATTAATAATAACATCATCATTATCACCTTACTCTCTCCCATCATTCAACACAAATAAATATCCTAAACATGAATATCATTATATTTCAAATCTTGTCCACCAATTATGTGCTGCTCCATAAAAGCGTTCTCTCTAGGTCTATACTTTTCCAGGAAAGGTTTTTGTTACAGTAACCCACTTAAGAAACTGACATCGGAAATCATGCTTAAATAGAAGGCATACAAAATAGGACAGTATTTTAACTGTATAGAGTTGGGATCAACTTTCCTCTTCTGACAGAAAAAATAAGAGCCTGTAAAGTACAGATAGGATGGATTATTTTATTTGCATTTACTAAGCATCATTTTCACGTGACGTGAAAAACTTGTAAGTCCTTTCTGAAATTACTCATTCGAACTAAAATAACCAAAGTGGGGGTGTGATTTCCTAGAAGACAGAGCTTTATTTTTCCAACCAAAGCTCAGAGCGATTTTCAAAATCAATTTCAGGAGAAATTTTCGGAACAAATACCAGTTATAACTTAGGTACAGCCAACAGTGGGAGTCCAGTCTGACGACAGGGACCTACAAGTCACGAGCTTCTGAGTCAGTCTCACCCCGAAACGAGCAGACACAGGTTTAGGCCTGATTTTATCACGACACTAAACACGGAGGCTCCTTTACGTAAAACAGAAGCTCAGGCTTCTACGGCCGCAGAGGAGCTGAGGTTCTGCTCCAGGGTCCCAATGCCCGCGGTGCGTCTGCAACTTAATCTCGACCTCGGAGCGCTGCGGCCCGAACCGCGGGGCCAGGAGGGCGGGGGCTCCGGCCCCAGCG